GTTAGTGTTTAATGAGTAACAAAGATTGACACTTGTGTTGCTTATTAAAAAACACACATATTCTTCGAAATAGTGTTTCTAATTAACGTAACGTTACGTGTTACAAATGTTCTTGTGCGGAAAACGTTAATGTAGTACTTTATTTCTAGGTAGACGCACGCTTTTACATAAGTAAAGATAAGGAATATGCCATAACATTGCAAGCAGTGTGTGATGCGGAACTTCGATTCTTAGACTGCTTTGCTGGATTTGCTGGATCAGTGGGAGATCGGCGTGTTTTTCGTAATTCAGATCTATGGAAGGAGGTAAATGCAAATAGAGCATCTTATTTTGAGGATCAGGACTACATTATTGGAGATAAGGCTTATCCATGTCTGTCATGGTTGATACCACCATTTATTAATTTGGGCCAACTCACACAAGTAAGACATTTAAATTAGAAGTGGATTTTACTGCATGTGTTTCGTAGGCTGCTCCAAAATTTATTGGCAGTGCTAAAAATGTATAGTACACGTGACGTATACTGTAGATCTTCAGCACTGGCAATGAATTTTGGAACATAGCCATAGTGAAAAAATAGTAGTGGAGAGACTATCATCTTTTATGCCTTTCCTGATTCTTACAGGCTCAGAAAACATTTAACACAGCACTTGCCAGTATGAGGCAAGTTATTGAGAGATCATTTTCATTGCTGAAAGGCAGATGGAGACGACTGAAATTCTTGGACATGAATCGTGATGACATGATACCCTTTGTCATCTTGGCAAGCTGTGTATTACATAATGTTTGTCTGGATAATGGATTGGAAGAGTATGAAGACTTCATCATCGAAGGACACGATGACGACGATGATGATGATAATGACAATTTTGTTAGGCAGCCAATAAATTTCCAGAATGATCCAGAAGGGATAGTAAAACGACAATATCTTGTAACATTAATTCGTTGATGTTTATTCAACTGGAATGGAATTCACACAGCCATTAAAGACCAAAGGAACAAAAGTTGTATTCTTAATTTATAATAGCACATATTATTCTGTAATCACACAGCCATTAAAGACCATTCTTATAAAGAAACAAAAGTTGTATTCTTAATTTATAATAACACATATTTTTCTGTAATCACACAGCCATTAAAGACCATTCTTATAAAGGAACAAAAGTTGTATTCTTAATTTATAATAACACATTATTCTGTAATCACACAGCCATTAAGGACCATTCTTATAAAGGAACAAAAGTTGTATTCTTAATTTATAATAACACATTATTTTGTAATCACACAGCCATTAAGGACCATTATTATAAAGAAACAAAAATTGTATTCTTAATTTATAATAACACATTCAGTAATCACAGTCATTAAAGACCATTATTGTAAATGAACAAAAGTGTCACTTAATATCACCTTGTGTTAACCTAAGATTACCTTCTATCACGAGTTGCAATAAAATATCGTAGATAATTGAAAAAATATTTTTAATCAATAACAAAAATAATGCATTATGTAATACCTA